TAGAGGGGAGCCGAGCGCAGACAGCGTAAAGCATTGAGTCATTAGTTCGTAGTTCAGAAGAAGTAGACGCGATCACTGAGATGAGAACGTTAGTCGCCTGACGTTTCGGATTCATGCCCGAACCCATCATCAGAGGCAGCCGCAGATACGGGTCTCTGCTTCTGATTATGATTTCGGTAGTGAATCCGAAAAATAATATTGTCCAAGTGATCATGTCTATTTGTTCTCAATTACTTCCTGAAACTCGCATTTTTGCTTGTATCGGCGCTTCGTAGTTCGTCTATCGGGCATGACGGCAACTACTATCCCCTCTCTCTCACCACCAGGGAATCCGGGGTAATTTTGCGTTGGTGAGGCGAGCTGTGCATCGTTGACTTCACCCCTTATTGTTGAATCAAGTCAAGCCAACTAAAAATTGGCTTTGGTGCAGTGCAAGATTTAATGTTTGTTCCATCTATTCTTTGTCGCTCCATTAAACGAAGTTCTTCGGTATTCGAGAGGTATATCAGCTACCCTCACCCGACATCCTCGGTCGGGCGAAGCTGCTGCTGCTGCTGCCGTTGTGTGACGGCTGCGTTCAGCTTAGGTTTATTAAAAACCCCGGATATGGCTTGAGCGGTAGCTGTGGCCGGAGGGGAATAACCACCCCTTTGATGTGACAGCCAACTTCTCATAGCCATCTCTTCCCTTGCTCACCCCCTCCTCATAGCATTAAACTGACATCGAAAGGGTCGCGCACACCTCTGTGCCCTGTGTGAACACCTGAACAGTGGCCAGCGTGTGTCCTGCGCGTTGACCTCCTAGATGCCGTTGTGACATGGCGAGCTGTGTCCACAGCCACCTGCAGGACATCTATTTAATTCTACCAACCCTGAACATATTCAGGCGATGATATTGTATACGAATGAATGAAAACGTTCGCGTTCCAGGTATTTGCATTAATAACGAAGAAGACTTGTCGATCACCGGTGCTCGACAAGTATTCTTTATCAATGGTATCGTATGTAGCCCTGATTATTCTTTATTGTAAAACTTGTTGACTTACTTTGTGCAAGTAGGCATTTTTCGTTAAGGATAGCAAAATTGCAACGGTGATATTAGCAGTTATGTTTAAAGTTAGGATTATTTAATCTTAGTTATAGGTTTTTAAGAGTACGGTAAGGGGTTACGGTTTTACACTTGGGATTAGGGTTATGATTATTATTTTATGGTTAATAGTGGAGTTTAAAGGTTAAGTTTAAGGCGTAATGTTAGAGTTATAGTTTCAAGTTTTTTCAGATTGATGTAAAGTACTAAGCTTAGCTCAGGAAAACACGCACTATGGGTCCTATGCCGAATACCACGTCACAGATGTCAGTACTGTCATATATAGGAAGATGCCCACGGTCAGCTCGCAAAAACACTTATAACGGCTCTTATACTTACTACTAACCTGTGTTTACCATTTTGTGAATGTTCTACTCTTTTTATGTTCGCAATTTTTATTTTTTTTGTATGTGGCTTTTTAGTTTGGCTTATTTAACTTCTGTGTTAAACTTTATGAGAATATATTTTTTCGTATTTATCGGTTTTTAGTTGTATTTAAATTGATTTCAGTTTGCCAGCTATCTGCACTGCACTTAACCATGCTACCGCACCCCTCATGTATGACATTTAGTATGGGTTCACATCTTCAGTAAAGCCTATCATGCCCTAATCTGCCTCCTGTGCTGGTTCATCCCATTTTCCACATGGCATAGTATGAACGATTTGAAATTTTCGTGCCATCTCTAGAGATAATGCACTGTTTGAACTGCGGGTTCATTTTGTAAGCCTTGTTTCGGGAGTAAACATTGTGCCGAGCAATCTACAAGAGTTTGCTAAACCTTCTACTGCCTATCCTCCCCCTCTCTCACTCGTGTGTGTACGTGTTTATTCCCCTTCGAAAGCCTCATTTTTCTCCCATAACACTCCCCCCACAAATGCCCTCCACTTACATTTAGCTCAGTTTACCGGTCGTTTGAGGCGCTGACGAGGTACCTAGTTCTACCCCTCCTCGTGGTCATCTCCTCTCCCGGCCTGGACACTCTGATTCCCTCTTCGGCATGGGCGCTGACATACCTACTGCAGGCAACGGATAGCTTGCAAAACTTTTTTCCCTCACCAAGACCTAGTCTCTTCGTCTGGCCTCAGCGGCTTATGCTTTTGGAGCACCTACTTGAGGTGAGTTCACTGCCAGCTCTTACACCAAAAGCTGCCTTCTGTCTAGGGAGAGGTTACACCACCTCGTGGTAGTTACTTTCAATCAGGCTATGTTCAGTTGGACAATAGAAGTCTCGGAATTTAAAAAAGAGAGAAGGTTTTATGATGCAAAGGGGGCGTATTGCTGTTCAGTACGCTTTGAGGGAGAATGAAGCATGGGCGTCTGCGTGTTAATTTGCCAAAAGGGTGATTGTATCGCGTCCCATCAAAAAGGCGGTCAGGCATGTGGGATGCACGCGAAGGCGAGCTGAGATGTCTGTTGGGCACCTCTGCTCCTCATTGCATCTGCAATCAGCTGGATTACGTTCCGTGGTTTCATGGTCGATAGAGAGAGCGAGCGAGAGAGAGAGAGAGAGAGA